ATCATTTGCATCAGTTTCTTGCTGTCATTCTAATGCAATTTGAGGCTGATTCATCTAGCGAATTTCAAACGTGCTCAAATTACAAACGTACATCGGATAACTACTAAAGAAATAATGGCTCCATTTTTTTCAATAAATATAGCCTGGGGTAAATTCCAGGAACACGATGCGTCTTTTAATTTAGTGCTAAATAGAAAAGCCACCCTGCGTATGGTTTGCAGTGCATAACACCATCTGATCACAATTTTCAAGCAACAAATCAAGGGCGTAGGCAGGACTTTTCATCGCGGAGTGGGTGAGGGGGTACTCCGTCAGTTTCTCACCCGCACCTCAAACCAAGCTTCATTTGTTAGGACATAATAGATTGGCGACTGAAAGTGCGACAACTGAGACATAACATTGCTCGCGCCAATTTACCTTTTACTTTTTCGAATTGTGCGACTTCTGTTGATGGAGAATGTTGGCTCGAAAATGACAATGGCGCATGTCTATCTTACAGCGCGGAATTACAGAATTATCTCTTGTTATTGTGAATAACTTCTTGAATAATTGTTAAATTATTAAAATACACAAATGTCAATCACATGACTAATTAATTCCTATTTGGCTTTTTGCTTAACGTTATTGCAATTAGGTGTATATAAAGGCCACACGTATAGATATCTTTGACGGTTTTGGTATATGATGATGTCCTACTATTCCTTGCAAAGAGTTAAACCTTTTCACAAGTTGTCCAAGTGAATCAGCTCTATCAGCTTCTGCACTTGATTTGTACATACGGGCGACGCCTTGTACTCGTATTCTAATGACGCAAAATTGTGAAAAATGACGTCATGAGTTTTGCCTATAATCGGGTCACTATAGATGTCGAAGGAGTACTTGTTTGTTTTGCACCAATGCAAGCAGTGCTGACTGCAGGTGAAAGCTTCGGTGAACTCGCTGTAAAAAGCTGATCTCCACTTTCCGGAAAGAGATTTAACTGAGAACCCCCACATGTTGCAGCAGCCAAGAAACCGGTGTGATTCATCCTCGAAGTAGAAGATGGACTCAAAGCCAGACTTGTAGTCTCGATATTTCTTGTTCCAATAACGTGCCCTCGTCTTCTCGACAATTTCTCCAACGCTTCTTTGAATACCGGCATCCTGAAGCTATACACGAAGGGATTAACTAAAGAATTGGCAAGATGGAAAACATTGACCGTCCACACCACGTATGGGTGAAAACACCTCTTGCAGATGTCCCTACCTATGTAAACAGCAAACGCTGGCAGCCAAAACAGCAGCGACAAAGCGATCACCGCGAACAGAGTCCTTGAAAGTCGTACGTTATACTCAGCAGTTTGACGGCGGTTGACAACGGCTACTTCGGGTGCAGTGCCGTTCAATCGTGTTCTTATTTTGAGGTAGCTCGCACAAATCAACACAAAAGATATGAAAAGGCAAAAAAGTACAACAACATGAACAGTCTCCCTCGCCAGCGTTTGGTAATAAAAGGAAAGAGCCATCAGACCAAATATGAAAATTCCTACAGCCCATACGACGACAATACTGTAGATGTAAACGCGAGTGCTAACAACACGATGCCGCAACGGTTTTAACACGGCGAAAGCGCGCTCGAGGGAAATCAGGGCGAGAAAAAAAACCGATGCACTTGATACAAAAAGTTGCATTGCTCCTGGTATCCATACTACTCGCAGAGCATTTTCTCTTTTTCCACTCAGTGGGTTTGTTTCGTTAATTCCCCTCGGTTTTGACGTTGTCGCCGTCATCTGATGGTACTTTTCCATCCCCAGAATCATGGGCTCTGTAATACCCACAAGTAAGTCAGCAACGGCGAGATTTATCAAGAGATAACAAGTTCTTCTTATATGCGATGTCCGAGTCGGAGTTGAGAAAACAAATATGGTGAACGCGTTTCCAAAGATGATCAATGCAGCCTCCACTGCATAGACAACAACGAAGATGATCGCCACATCGTTTGCCAACATTTTTATTACTCTATCACATCAGTATCTGCGACTAATTGGAATATTACACCTCTGCAACGTTATATAATTAGAGTACTTATAACTCCCAGCTTGAAACACCCAACCGCGCTTTTTTTCTTTTTTGGGGGGTGTCCTTTCAACGATGATGCTGGTGATATTGATACTGTGGAACTTGCCGGTTTTGTATACGTGTACTGTATATTTAAATTGCCTTCAAGGGTTGTTTGACATAATGAATAATATCTTGCTCCGTCACCAACAGCCTTAATGCTCGCTGTAGCACCAGTAGCACTTTGTCTAGTGTGATATCCCTACAACTTTACAGGTACAAAGAAACAGTTTTAAGTTCAACTGTCAACAGAGTAGAAAGAAGTTAAAGAGAGAATGATAGGTGCCTCTTATATTGATATCATGTCCTCAAATTTCAGATTTAAATTATTTGGTAAATCATGCCAAGGCGAAAATTGGATAGATTACATTTGAGTTTACTCAGTTGTTCCTTTTCTCCGCCAATGAAAATAAAGGATTTCATCTATATTTAAAAAGTTTTGAATATTACCTTCACCAAGATGTTATTTTTTGTATACGTGTAAACAAAATCGGTAATAATATTGATATTCAAAACATCCTACGCCATTTTCTTAAAAGTGTGCTATTGACTTTCAAATTTTTTAAAGTAAAGAGATAAAGAAAATTATGCTGTTGGATGACGACATGTCACAAGACCGAAAAATGCGTAGGGGAGTCTAAGACATACCCCATCACCCGATGCGTCTTTTCCGATTGTCTGTAGGAATCATTATCAGAACCATGCATTTTTAATTATCATCGAGCGTCAGAAATGTTGATAGATTGTAAATTAAACATCATAATTTTTAGAAAAAATTTTCAGCAAGGACCACTTGGACAAACTGTAGCGCGAGGGAAAGCCGGATCTTGAAGTAGATCAGGCGGATCAGCAATAAATACAGAATAACACCCAAACAATGATTAGTTGATAGGCAATTTATTTCCTCAATATTTCGGTTAGGCAAATTTAATACTGACAAAATAAATTACCCATCCAAAGTAGCTGTCCTATCAGCCTTGCCGTCAATTTTGAATATCATAATTTTTGACGACAGGCGAAACAAGGCAATGATTAGAACGATCGAAACAAGGCTTTTTGAATAACACAGTACAGTAATATGCTAGGGCAAGAGATTTGAGGACATCTACACCACTCTGATGGCGGGTTTGAACTATCTTCTTACTAGTATTTGTTTTAAGCACTGAGTTATTCCAGAAGATTTCTTGTTTGTATTAGGGTACACACCTTCCTTCCATAACTCATTGAGGGTCATGTTTACAAGCTAATCGGGCATGAAATGATCGAAAATGCCGTAGAACGCGGTTTTGTTAAACACCGGTTAAATTCGTTCAGACAACCGGGCCTTACTGACTTTTTATTATTCAGGCTTTTTGTGTATATAATTCATCTATTATGTTGTCGACGATGAAAAACTCAATTTCCGTTTGGTTTGACATGCAGCAACTTTGCCGCACTTCCAAAAAACAGCAGAGTTGATAACTTAGCTTTTAAAGATTTACCTATTCATGACGATGCTGAGCTGATCATTACAGTTGCTGGTGAGGTGAGTGTCTTGAACAGAAATTCACATTTGGCTGAAAAAGAGGTATTGCCTCAAACTGAGATTTCCTCAAAGAGGTGCCTAATAGTTTAGTCCCCGGCCATCACACTTAATTAACTCTCTCACTAACCGACATCTAATAATAATACAAAGCACGAGCTCTTCTTAAAACTTTAAGCTTGCTTCAACAGACGTGAACGCGGCATCTCGAGGCGTCGCACGGCATTGCCAAATGAAGTGTGATTCTGGCATTCAACAAACATATACTAATTTAAATGGGCTCAATTGTGCATCTTTAAAAAAAGAAAATATTCAATTAGCAAACTAGTTTTAAAATCGCGTATCTTGTATATATGTTATAGTATAATTTTATCCTTGGTTTAAATTTTTCCTTCTTTTGAATATGGTAATCTTGGTAATATAAGTTTAAACAAACAGAAAAATAAATTTTGAACCATACACCAAAATAACATATCTTCAGTTTTTTACTTTTTCTTGGAAGGTTTCCGGGAAAGGGTGGCGGACGCCCTTTTTCCCTCCCCAGGCCACCGCTCGGCTCGTTTCGCTCGCCGATATTTATCCTGTTTGACCAAATTTGACCCCGTTTTCTGCCTTTGTTCCCCACTGTAGAGCCTGGTCCCAGGTCAGTTAGTAACTGGTCGGCGTTCATTGTTCCAGTTCTACCACTAGGCTCTCGATCGTACTTGAAAACGGTACCTTTAGGGACTATGCTGCAAATAGGGCTTTCCACAAGTTGCTGTTGTTGTTAAAAGACCTTCTTCACCCGAGACACTCAAGTCAGTCGAATGTGAATCTTCTTCCATCATTTTGAATTTTCTCTAAAACACCGCTGACTTAGCAGTCCACCTACTTTTATCTTGCGCCCATGATCTGCCCCAGGGGGGAGGATTTGGCTCCTTTTTTTGGCAAGAAATTCATAAATTGATAAATTGTCTAGTAAAACATTGTGAAATATGAAAGAAGAAAAAGTTGCTCGAAATACGAGAAGTTGCCAAAACGTTGCCTAGCAACTTGCAGAAAGCCCTAGCTTTAAAGATTTTTAATAGCCCCCCGTCGCTGATCACCTGATGACTTATGACATTTTTGCAGGGAAATAACTGAATCATTCCTCTAGCTAGATACACTTGAGATTTCTAAAGTAAATTATAGCCATTCAAATCTTTTACACCTAGTTGTACTTTACATTTTAGTGTAATTTTCTTTTTATCAATTGTAAATAAGTTACATTTATCTTCAATCATAAGTAAGGATATTTTTTATAAATTTTGATTTCTTTTACAAAACAGATGAAGAGCCACTTTGTGGAAACTCTGTTATTTATTTATTTATTTATTATTTATTCATTATAGGTGCTTTGAAGTATGCAGCTATCAGCTAGTGCCTGTTATACTCTTCTCGTCTTAATCCTGGAAAAACACTCCGCAGATTGCAATGTTTGCAGTAACAGCTTTCGAATCGCTGATTACGCCTTGTTGGGTCACGTTTTAAAAACAGTGAGATCGCAAACGTTTGAAGGGTGCCTGTTTAGGACACTCGCCCTAGGTTCTACGAAGTCGTATTTAAAGATACGCCATTCTCGCAGGACACTCTACTTGGAACCATGTGCTCTTCAAAAGCTTTGTCTGAAATACGGTTGTTCTCCTAGAAGTATGTATTCAATGGTTTTTCGCCAATTTGATCCTTGTGTGCCTTTTAAGGCATGTAAGAATGGAGGCCACTGTGAGCCCTATCCCGTAACCCGCTGCGTGTGTCTCGAGGGATTCTTTGGCTCCTTATGTGAAGGTGTGTACGAATAGGATAAATTATGTGCAAATCATCTTACCTAAGGTAGTTGTTTAGAGACGCATTAATTTGATTTCTCATCCAGGAAACCTTCCCATTTTAAAGATCCCATTTCCCCTCATTCTCGTTCCCAGAGCTTCGATCCTTTTGGTCAGCGGCGGGGACGATTTCGCCGCTGACCAAAAGGATCGAAGCTCTGGGAACGAGAATGATTTCCCCTCTCCAGACTACCTCTCGGCTCGCTTCCCTCGCCGATGTTTTTTTTTTGCCCACGCCGATTTTTTTCTTCTTTTTCCTCCAATGCAGAGCCTTGGTCTCAGGCTATGATTTGTGGGAATGAAGCCTTCGTTCCCAGAAATATTTAAGCGTTTTGACTGGTCAGCACCATTGATCTCCCGAAAAAACATTAGGCATGAAGGTTTTTTAGACATGTTTATTTCATTTTGATATATTTTTTTTATCCCACGTTTCTGAATGGAATCAACGGATTCTTGAGCCCTATCATTTTACAGTTTCAGTACCAGTGCCCCTCGGTTTAGAGAGCGGTTCAATCAAAGACAAAGACATCTCAGCATCCTCTTTTAGACCTGGGTATGAGGCGTATAACGCAAGGCTTCATGGCCACTCATGTTGGAGACCGCTGTCCGATGATACACAACACTATTTGACCATTGCCACACAAAGCATAGTAAATCTGACTGGAATTGCTACTCAAGGGGCGAGTTATGAAGCATGCTGGGTCACGCAATACTCTTTGCAATACTATGATGGACTGTCGTGGACCCAATACCAAGTTGATGGAAATAAAATAGTAAGTTACATAACAATCTTTGTTTTTCTACGTAATGATTGTCGTTTCCAATAACACTGCATTCAGTGTGCATTGCTATACGGTTTAAATCATATACCGTAAAATTCCGAAAATAAGCCCCTCCATGTATAAGCCCCTCCAAATATAAACCACCCAAACCGGTAACGCAAAAAACCCTCCGTTAAGTCGCCCCTCTAAATATAAGCCCCCGGGGGCTTCTACTTGGAAAATTGCCCTCAAATACAAAGTAAAACAAAGCAAAAACAGTAAATTTACTTCCAACTATAAAGCTAGCCCAATCGATTTTGAAACCGCGCAAATTTCCCTCCGTAGATAAGCCCCTCCGGATATAAGCCCCTCCAAAAATAAGCCCCTCAAAAAGGGCCTTTGAAAAATGTAAGCCCCGGGGCTTATTTTCGGAATTTTACGGTATTTCCGTTCCCCTAGATGCCATTAAGAGATTTTCCGTAAGTCTCTCAGCAATCTGTGAGCACGTTTTCCTGCATGCACCCTAAAACTAAGAACAATATGGAACTTCTTTGGATCATTTGCAATAAAATCAGGAAAGTCCTAAAAAATAAACATTTGATATTTACCGATTGGACTTAGGATTGGATTTCGGGAGTGTCCCATTGTATTTTTTGGTCTTTGATGTAAATGAACGCCGCGTTTTCCCTCATGAAATTAGAATATAAATCAGCATGGCATACCCTTTGTTGTACTTACAGGACTTCGATGGCAACAAGGACCAAAGTTCTGTTGAAAAACACGAGATGCAGCCGTTTAGAGCTATAGTGTTGAGGTTGTACCCGAGTGCATGGCATCAGTGCATCGCCTTACGAATGGAACTCTATGGAAAAAGACTGCGGTCTAAATAGTTCATATGTATACATGCCTACGAATAAACCTGGAAGACAAATAATCAGGAGCTAAGTTAATCAGCAACAGTTTCTTTAGCCTGTGTACAGATTTTTTCTGAGGGAGGGGGTTCGTCTGCACACAGACTGCGGTTCCTTATACAATTGGTTTCTTTCTTAATAGCTGAACGCCCCAGCTTGAAATTGCTTATAATCTTAATATAATCACTTAAACGAACGTTAATTCCAGGCAGTGTTTCTTCTGACATGTTTTTTATGGGTATCATAGAGTCAGGGCTGAAGAGGCCAGTGTCTGCAATGGAAAGCGGCAATGAATAGAACTTGCATAATTACGTTACGGTTCAGTGATTTCAATTCACTGGTGGCTTTATGCCAATTAAGTATATGCAAGACAGAATATTCTCTCTTGGTATATGATGCACATAATTTCAAATAAACTATGATATCATCGATCTAAAAACTTGTCAAACCAATTAAGCCATCTTGAAAAAGCAGATAAGCTTATCTCAATAAGATTCCTCCGCATTTTATTGATAAGGCTTTCCCTGTTAGAGTGCTAGCAGAGGTCCAGCAGAGAACAAAAGTCGATGACGTCATCGGCGTTGATGGTTCCCGGCAACTTAACGAGGTTCCCACGCATTTTATTCATCAGATAAAGACAAAAGAATATGACATCATAGGCGTTAATGTATTCCTTCACAAAGTAATAGAATAGGCCATTTTACAGTCGTGTGCTCAGTGACCTGGCCTTTGAATAGAAGTGAGGTTTGTGGTGACCTTGTTTTGTTACAATCCTTCTTGTTTTTCATATGTAAATGATCATGTTCACGGGCTTGTTAGCATGAAAATACCACGATTTGCACTTGAAAAGCAGGAAGGTTTGTGACAAAACAAGGTCACCTCCAGCCTCGCTTTTATTCAAAGGCTAGGGCACTGAGCACACAACTGTAAAATGGCCTATTCTTCGGCAAAAAGGGATAATTCGGTGCGCTGTATACTACTAAGACAATTGGCTTCAAGAGCAAAGCAACAGCATCTAGGCGAATTTACTGGGCACGAGCACTTTTAGAAAAGTGGGGAAATCAGAGTAAGAGACAGTTGTGCAAGGAAAAGAGTTGAATACAGGGATTAGCACCGAAGTACAGTGATTAGGGTTAAGCGCAGTTTTAAAAACGGTTAGCTTTCAATAATGTAATGATCAACGCGATGTAAAGTACGTTAAAATTAACCAGTCTCGGCAGTCAGCCCTTGATGGTGTAGTGGATACGGATATGGATTAGACATCAAATGACGCGGGTTCAAATCCTACATACTACCTGCTGTTTCTTCTGTTTTCTTTCTTCTCTTATTTACTACTTTAAGTTACAAGACTCCTATGGTGTATTTTGAGTGAAGATGACAATCTGACTTTGGGGTACCCATTCTAGTCACAACCGGAAACTATGTGGGTTTCGTGTTGTTTATCCCATATTAAACAGACTCGTACCCAGCCAGTTTGACATCAGGAAATAGTGGCACTTACTCAACTGGTACGTATTTGTTGTAGTTCAATTTTATCCTTGGTTTTAAATTACTTATTTTCCCTTTAATTTAAATTCATTACCATAAATTACCATACCCCAAAACAAAGGGAAAAAATTTGGAACCAAGAATAAAATTGAACTACAATACATACACAGCTGGGGACCCGGAACGGGGATTTCGGAACTGCCGCTAGCTTACTTGAGGTTTAGTTTCGGAAAATGTGCCATTCAAGTTTTTGAAAGGGCCTTTATTCAAAATATTTCGAACAGACGCACAGTTGGGCTGTATCATATTATTTTATATAAGTTCTCTCACAGGGCACTTTTTCTGTCAAAAATGCTACAGGGTCTCGGATAGATTCTCAGGGTGGAGCCTTCTCGTATTCTTGGTTTGCAGCCACCTGACAAGGCGGCCATGTTTGGGTTCAAAACAATGAAAGTTGTCTCGAAGAATTTACATGAAAATAGGGTTTGGTTGCCAGAGAATAGAAATTCTTTTTTCCTGACCACCAACATGGCCGCCGAGACGTCACGTGGAAACCAGCAATGAAATTCCCCTGGGCTTTAAAATCACTCATCAATATCTCCAGTGTCCATGACTAGTACGACTGAAAATTTCTTTTCTGAGGCCAACTTTTATAACAATCAATAACACGGTTAGTAGTTACATTCCTTTATTGATGCCCTTGACTTCAAAGATATGGTTATTTCTGACCAGTGCAACAAATTTCTCTGTACAATGGAAAATATAGATTAGTTTTACAAAGGATCACTGTTAATATCGTTGACCTTTAACATAACATTATTATATATAATTCAAAACGATGACATAATTATTGTTAATGGATATTTTATAGTTAACTGGCATTACACAGGAAGATAATTTAAAATGAATGGCTTTTCATTTGTGAATACACTAAATGGTAGTAATATTTTCTCATAATATCATGGTAACAAAGAATAATCGGCTTGAGCAATAACAGATTCCAGTATAGAATAATCTGGGAGCTGGGGTTTACGTGACTTTAATGTACCAACCTTCTGATTGGTTCATTTTGGTCACGTGAACAAAATCCAACTCCTTGTTTGGTTACATCCATATTGCAATCTCTACTATAACTACTTTCTCGCATGGTCCCCTTTACTTATTAGCCTCCCACGCAAGCGTTTTGAGAGGATAAGGGAAGTCGTATCTCTTAGGCGAGGAGGAGAGCAGGGCTGTCATAAGGCAGCTGGTCTCTCAGGGACAGTAGCTAGTTATTTGTCCCGCAAATCCTCATATATTTGTTATGTTTGACTCATTTTCAAACTTAGGGAAGCTAGATGATTTGATCTCAGAAACAGGAAGCAGCCTTGTTCTGAATATTAGTACGAAGTAATCCAATGAATAATATTGAGAGCATCCTCACTTTGCCAAAGACAGCAGGGCAACAAAGCCACTTCCTTTATTTCAAGTTATCTAACGCATCGAAAAAGGTCACCAAGGCACAAAACCAAACCTTTATTGTACAGTCAACTCTCTTCTATTCTTTCACTCTCAACAGTGGACAATGTAAAAAAATCACAAAAATTCAAATTACAAATAACAGCACCATGAAAAAAGTTTTACCAAAAAGGTATCAAAGGATACAAAAGTTAGAATAGATTGATAAATCATTTCACACCATAACTTGGATTATAAGTGAAAGGATTATGGACACCAGGCACCCCCCTAGAGTGGGAGCCTGCTGTTCTTCAGGTCTTTTCTTTGACTTGATACATGGCGGAAACTACCTTAAGACAGACACTCAGTGAGTCCCAATAATGTCTGTCTTAGGGAGAGTCGACTGTAATATGGCAACCAAAGTGAACAACAATTTTGCCACTGTTTAAACATAAAAAGATTATACAGCAGTGTCCTTAATGGGTGGCGGCCTTGTGGGGCTTCCACGAAAAAAATATAAAACACAGCATTAAAGCCAGCAAAATCTGCCGCTGGTGGTGCTATGTTCATAGTTGAGCAATTTTATTTTACGTTTGTTTAAATGACTGACAGCAGCGCATACTCATCAACATCATCATCATCAATAAACAACTTTCATGATACTGCCATACATTGAGTACAGTAAAACGCTGTAAGTAAGAACCTGGTTTTTCAGAACCTGTTGGCCTAAAATTTGAAAACGGTTCTTACTTTTTAAAATCTAAAAAAAATTCTCTGCAATCAGGCAAGTTATGAAATAAGTCAACATTCAGGATGCTCTTCGAAGACATAGGTGCTTTAACACTCCAACTGCAATGTAATGTATGCAGATTTTATATAAGGAATAAGCTGTACACCACAAAAAGCCTTAGCTACATTGTTTTTTTTTTCTTCAGAATATAACCTATTTAAGAACGTAAAGAGCCTAAATTTGTGCTAATTACCATTAAATATATCTAAGTACCTGTTTAGGCTAACTTGGGAAAATGCAGGTTCTTACTCGCGGGTTTTTACTCTACTCACCCGGGCAATTCTGCTTCATGCTATCTGCTTCATGTGGTTTTCATTGAAGCATACAGAATGCTGTGTTTCCTTAACCCTTTCACTGCCAGAGTGTTTGATGGACTTTTGTGAGGTGACTCTAACTTTTGAGTCTGTGGACGAAATCCTATGATGTGACCATTCAGATGAAAGCTCTCTGCCTGTACTTTCACATGATGTTATTTGTTTCTCAAAATTTTAGAAAATGAAATTTGGTAGGAATTTGCCTTTGGCCACATTTGGCAGTGAAAGGGGTTAAGTTCTGCCAGTGGCCCTGTTTTGAGGAGAAGGAACCCTTCAGCTCCTTATGGAAAAACCCTGGTAAGAATAATGCTACAGACTATAAAAATTAGAAGCAAAACAACTGTGCTTTGTTCAGACATTCTGAATGATCAAAAATTAAACAATTTTATCCAGAGCAAAGTATAGCAATTAGGCTAATAATATTATTATGAATACAAAATAAAATCTACATGTATTTTTCTTATTTCATGTCATGGATGCCTTTTTATTACAGTTCCTTGATTTGTTTGATTAGGTAAGTCTTCTCATCATTGAATTGCTCATCCTCTGAAAAGTCGTAAAAATAACAGACCATGAGTACATAGTACAAAAGTGAAAGGCAGATGAAAATGAAATTTGGGAAAAGGGCCCAGTGGAAGGACAAAGGAAGGGAGAGAGCCCTTTCGCTTCCCAGTTTCTTTCCGTTTTATTTTCGTGCTCACGACTATCTCAGAGCCTGGAACAGGGTAGACACAGGCTTGTTGGCCAGCAGTCACACCCTAG